TTCTTTGCTTCCCCTCTCTCACCCACCATCTCTGTGAAATGACTCACAGCCGGTGCCTCGGACCCGAGGCTTGCGCTCGCTCGCTCCTAACTGCCCTGAGTGTGTGTCTGTCCGTTTCCTCAGGCACCTCTCACCCCAGCGTGTCTCCCTCTGAGTAAAGGGTTTCTCCTTCAGACTCATTGCCTCCCAGCAGCCGCCTCTCACCTGTGGGAAGTCAGACGACTCTGGGGTTTTCAGGGCTGTGACCTTTTGGAAGCAGATTGGCAGGCCTGTTTTGTAAGGCACCACTGGGTGGATTCGAACCAAACTTTGAGCATATTGGGAAGCATGTGCACCACCCTGGGATGCCTCCAGGTGATGCAATCTGACTCTCCAGATCCCCAACGGTTGACTCTGCAGTCTTCCATGAATGTGAGGCAGGTGACTGGAATTGTAAACTCCTGTTCTTCATGTGCCAGAAGAATAAGCGTTGTCAGCTTGTCCAACGTTTCAGGACCTGCTTCTGTGTCTGTGGAGATGCTGCTGTCCATCTTGGTATTTGCTGTAAGGATTAGAGAGGATATCCGTCACACGGCTGGGCACCCCACCTGGCACATAATAAGACCTCAGTGTTTTGCAGCTGGTTATAAAGGGAATGTTGGGGTCTACTCTGAGGATGGAGGACAAATTGGACACGGGGAGAGACCATTTAAGAGGCTGTTCATAGTTATTTAGGTGTGATGGATGTGAATATGCACATCACATTTTTACATAAAGAGTGTGCACACTTACACATTTTGCCAACTGCACACCCCCTTGGGGCACTCATTTGAAGTGTGTGCTGTGATGGTATATGTGTGTGCATGTTCTGTACATGGGCATGATTTATGAGTGTGTGGATACACAAGTTGCCTTCAAACTGATTCTGACTCTTCGGAGAATAAATAGAATTATGCACCATAGAGTGTCCAGTGGCTAATTTTTTGGACTCTTCAGCTCTGTCTTCCCAGGTACCTTTGGGGGCTCTCAAACCCCCATCCTTTCATTTATCCTCTGACTTCCACCCAGGGATGGACCAACGCACGCACACTCTACATATACATAAAGTATTGTCTATGTATGCATACATACACATCCACACACACATTGTTACATTTCACCTAGTTCTGAAACATGGTGACCGCATTACAGAAGAATGAAACCTTGCCTGGTCCGACGCCACTCTCTCAGTCATTCCTGTGTTTGAGTACATTGTTACAGCTGGGTGTCCGTCTAGTTCATCGAAGTTCTTCCTCTTTTTCTTCTACCAAACACGATGTCTTTCTCCAGAAACTGGTCTCTCTTGAAAACATGCCCAATGTACATGAGCAACGTCTCCTCATCCTCACTTCTCAGGAATATCCTGGCTGTGTTTCTTGGTCTTTCTTCTGGCACT